TTTCGGTATAGGGTATGTTACATGAAAAATAATTAGAATTTTACGATCCATCCCAAAATGGAGTAAAGACACACTATTTCTGTTTAAAATAGGATAGTTTGGTAACTTAGGAAACAAACTATAAATCTGGCAACGTCACCGATATCACCATTGGATATAGACAGAAAACCTCGTCTCCTAAATTGTTAAGTCTGAGGTACATGGCCGTTGTGCAACTTTTGACTAACCCTGAAAACAAACAACACATTGGAAATTGGAATTTATTTTGTGCGAAATTCTGACTAACTTTTGTTATCATTTCCTTATGCTTTTTCCATTACTTACCAGTAAAAACTCAATATTTTTACTGTCAACCTCAATGTTCAAAAGCTCAACAAAATCTGCCTACAAGTTCCTTGAGTTCCTTGAGAACTGTTGTTCTTCATTTCAGAGATCAACGCAAAAGGGGCTCCTGTTTTTGTTTTGAAACGTGGGTTTTTATCTTTACAAAATGTTTTTCAGAATTGTAAATGTATGGGACATCCTGACTACCAAGAAATTATCGTTTTTACCTTTTTTCTTTGCCATTGATCTTATTTTGTTTCAATTAGTAAAACTGAACGTTAAGTAAAACTATTGTATTTTGTGGTATTTTTTTGCACAAGTCTAGACCAAAATAACAAGTCAAAAAGAAAGCTTGCAAATATCGCACCGAGAAGGATTATTTTATGTAAGCTCGGGACTCATATTTCTTACTTCCTCCCCATTCGCATACGAGTATGTCACTAAAAGAGGCAAAATAAAATCTCTTCCGTGTCCTCCGGTTTTATGAATGTGCAGCGGTTAACCGGCGTTGCCAAGTGTAGCGTAATTAGAATATCTTCCTTTGCTGCGGTGCGTAATCGCTGGACTCTCAACGCGACCACTATAAATAAAACATATTGCTTTTCCTATAAAAAAGAAGAGTCGTATAGCAAAATCATTCAAATGAGTCTCCCGCGTTTTAAGCAGAATGGTTAACGCTAAACGCGGCAACCCCGGTCCTTTACAGATGCAAATCCAATACTTAATAAGATGAAAATCGATTTTCTTTGGGCTTTTAATAATATTCAGCCGGTTTTTGCTGGGTAGGCGAAAATCCGCTGGCTGCAATTTCACCGGTAGAAGTAACCACTATAAATCTTGCTTCCTTTAACGGGCTGTTCTACGAAATTGGTACCCGGCGACTTTATTCGTCGTAGACGAAGTTCGACATAGCGTTTAAAATAAATCAAGGGAAGCGCGCACCCACAGTTTTATATTTTGGTAACACTTTTTCAACTTAAATATATGTCATTTTAGAAAAAGCAAAATAAGAAATATGAGATAAATAAAAGTAGGGCAGGACCAGTGTGACAAGGAAATAGGAATTGTACATTAGACTTTAAGAAAGAGGACAGACCGGGCCTAAAAAAGAACACCAATACCCATAATACTTCTAACTAATTGAATGTAAATGTCTCCTATAATGTTCTAGTAGGATTTCTGAAAAACTTAGTATTTCAAAGAAACTTCCACAGGCTACTGTAATAGTTTTTGAAAAACTTCTGGATTCCTCCTGCGTCGGTTTTTGCTGAGTCGAACTTGCTAACGTTTCGCCAATCATCCTGTTGGCTTCTTCAGTACCTGTACCTGCTTATATATTGTTTGAGAGGGCCGGAGCTAAATGAGAAGTTTTTTAAAAAGTATAACAGTAGAATGTGGATGTTTCTTTGAAAAACTATCAAGTCTTTATGGAGAGGACATCAAGCGCAAAAGTAGAAACTCAAAGATCACCGATTGAAATTGGTAAGATTACTCTGTACACTGACCTTTTTATTACGTTGTAGAGACCATAACGTTATCCCCAATTTTTGACCTGATCTGCTTATAAAATTCATCACAGCCGTAGGGAAATAGACCAAATCAATAAGGCTCTTCAGTCTCTACACCTTGAAATTTATTCTATTTTGTTCCCATCCGATTTCAAACATGATTCACGACAAAGGTTTAAATATTTGTTTATTTTCTACCCAAAATCACATTCAGAAATTAAAAAAACTGACGTCAACACTAGGAAAACCATCAAACTGTTCTCAGCCACCAAAGGCTGCAATAAATGTATCATCGCTCCAACTTCCGGAAACGGAAAAATCAGTTCTTTCAAAAGGTTCCAAGTTCGTCCTTGGGGCACGTATTAATAGAACCGTTCACCAGATATATCAACGAAGACACAATTCCAATGAATTGTAAAGAGACACGGATAACGCCTATTCATAAAAGAGGGTCATGGGTGTGAAATGGCTGTGAATTATAGATGTTTCGCCGTCACAAGTACCATTAGTCTGGTTGAGCTGGGTTTAGAGCTGGTAGATCCTGCATCGCTCATATATGTAGCTTGGCACAGCTGAATGAAAAGAAAGTAGCTACAAACAGAGAAGTCCATTTATTGTTTGTAGGCATATGATAGTGTACCAGTGTCGAGGCTATGGCCAATTTTGGAAAAATCGCGTATAAATAACACCGCAGTAACAGCTATTAAACAACTATATGACAAAGCAAAATCACGAATTAAAAGAAGGAACGTACACTTATTTAAGATATACCTTAATGAAACTCTGAGAAATTGGAGAAGAGTTGAATGGGCAGGCAACTAAATGAAGACGCGACTATCTATACGCTCCATTTTGCAGACTATCAGGTTATTGTCTCTTCATGTAGTATGAAGATAATAGGGTGTTTAAATGCTGTTCTATGGTCTAAACAAACTTCTAGAGATAGAAAGAATCTCATATATAATACGGTTTTGAAAAATATAGTGCACTAAGGATGCGAGACGTGGCAAATCAACAGAAATCTAGAACATCGCCTGTTGACATTGAAAATAAATTTCCAAGGAAGATCCGCAGGAAGCTCAAGACTCGAAAGAATAAGAAATAAATAAATAAGAGAAATTATGACGGCAGACATATTAATAGTCGATGAAATACAAAACCCACAGCTGATGTGGTATGGCCACGTTGAGAGAATGAATGAAGAACCCATTCCCAAATAATTTTAAAATGAATAGAAAGTTCGGGTATTATCTCCATGACATCTTTGTCACTCCTCGTAAAGAATGCCTCTTCGCTTGCGCTATGGGAACTAGAACCTTATGAATCACGAATCCTGTGCAGCAAAAAGCCCGTGAAGAAATGTGTTTGACAGCCAAAGATTTTTTCTTAGACACAATTTCTGTGAACTTGGAAGGACGGTATGAAATTTTATTATCAAGGATAGAAAATCAGCCCAATCAGAAAGCTAAATACTGAAAATCTTCTTGAGCGATATGATCGAGTGTTAAAAGAATGGCTGGATATATACGAACAAGGATCTGACAGCGAAGCACATTATTACCACACAGGCCAGTTATCCACGATGCCATTAATTACACCACGAAGATGAGATCATTGTTCGACTTTCAGCTGCTGCAAAGGTTACAGGTCGGTTGCCAAATCATGATGGGAGAATTTGTACATTTCCGATGGCTGACGCGACGTGTTGTTGAAGTAATTCTAGGCAACAGCTAAAGGACAGCTTCTTCAATCCATTCAACGAATTTATCTTCTAGAATGTGTGTATCATCAATCTGCGGAATCAGTTTAGAAATAGAAGAGCTGTTCGGAAAAGAATTCAGGGACCGAATGTGATTGCGAAAGTTCGGGAGTGGTGGAGAGACAAAGATCGAAAAATCCGGAAGTTAATAAAAGCATAGTACCCGCTGAAAAAGTTATAGTGACGCATGGTGGGCGTATAGTTAGGTCACATAAAAGATTTTAGTTTGGGTTGAAGGTGGCTCAGGTGGGAGTATGTGAACTTTGCCCACATGCAGAATTATTATTTATTTTGATTTTCATTTTTTATCAGATATACGTAAAGTTCTTTCTAAATGCCTGTAAAACAGTATTTGTTGAAGAAAATACGGATAATATTTTGAACCGCCGTTAGTAGTGTTAAATAAAAGCGACATTACAGTAGGTATTTTTTTTATAAGTAAAATTATTGCACCATTCTTCTAGTGCCAGTCTTTTCATCCCCTTTCATTACACTTTCTTTTCTTTTCATGCTTCTCTTTGATGACCTAATGCGGCCGCTTTTATCCCCATGCAAAAGTCCCTATATTGTTAACTGTCCAATTCCAGTCATATCTCAACTATTTTTGCAACTCAGAATGTAGAATTTTGATGGCGGAGAGCCTTGAAGACATCGATAATTATAATTTCCTCATTTTTGAAACTGCAGTTTTACTAATCCGTTTCTCAGCCAATTCGGAATCACTAGCCATTTTGAAGAAAGAACTTTGTCAACAATTGCCGGAAAGTAACTGTAATTATATTTTTAAACACTAAGGTAGGTCCACTATCTGACCGTCTACCTGCGGGAATCCTGGACACTTATAAGTCCAGTACTTCACCTATGGAATACGACTAATACCACTAAGTTTTATAATCCCAATAATTAAGAAGCGTTTATAGTCCGCGTTATATACTCGTCCAGTTCACCGCGCGAAATAGGCAAATAGCAAGAAATTAGAGAAACTTATTTTCTTGCGCCTAATCTCCAACCCAGAATCGTAAAAAAAAATCATCGAAAAGACGAAACCGTGGGAAGTCTTGACAACCCAGAATTCGATTTGGAATCGGTCCAACAAAAAAATCGTTTTTCCGCGGTCTCCCCGGCGACATTCAACCTTCAACGGACGACTTACTATCCCAAATATTTCCGTTAATTACCCTGGCAGCGAGAATAACAGCAAACGGATCGCGCGTTTCCATGGGAATCTACAGCCGCCTATAAAAACTAGCATCCACGACACAGACACACGCGGGAGAAAAAACCGCTATCAAGTTCTGCGCTCTCTGTGCCGCTGCCCCCGCAACGTAGACCACCAACGCTACACCGCGTCACGTGACGCACAGTCGCAGTCTCTACCGATCCCGGAGAGTCGGCCGAGAATCAGTTTCACCCTTGGCCAGGATGTTTAGTATTGGTTAAATCGTCTACGCGCTTGGTTCGTGACGTTCCTTCGTCGCCTAAAACAATGTGCACATAAGTCAAATCCGCGTTGAAGTCGTAGCCGGCGTCCTCTGCTTCTTTGTACGAAGGCAGGTCAATATCCACGACGACGCGACGACCGGTTCAGAAGCGACCGCCGGTTTTAAAGATGCTTTTCGCAAAATTAAAACCATACGAAGAATCATATTCACCGGTGCTTGATACGTCGTCTGATCTACTGTAAGCGACGATTTGGCGCGTGAAAATGGCACGGAATCACTTGTTCGGTGCCGTGATTGTACTCACGTGCGTCGCATGTTATTATAACAGTTGTTACTGTGATTTCGTTTTCGACGACATTAGTGCGATCAAAGAGAACAGAGATTTGAGACCCCACACGCCAGCCGTTAACTTGTTCTTTAACGATTTTTGGGGTACTCCGATGCACAAGGTAAGCAGACGGATCCTTAAGAAAAGTGCACCTTGTAAATAAAACAAATTATAGAAAAATGAACTGTGAATACCCGATGGGATAACGGTAGTTGTTTCCTCCAATCACGAAACCCATTTAATATACTGTAAGACTTTCGAATATCAAAATTAAAGGTTTAAGGGGTTTCCCAGCAGAAATCGAGTTTAATTATCTATTTAGCACCAAGCTTTGCGCCTTATGGCGAGTTTTGCAAGAGAATTTTTATCACAATTTATTACTTAAGATGTAAAATTTAAATCGTTTTGCCCGAAGAGCGATTTTGTTTTCAACTTCAACTGCTGCCAATACCCAAGATACATTTTTTGGATTTTAGTTTGATGACTGAGAGTTTCAACTTTATATTTTTTTCCCATGTAATAATATTTCATTTACAAAATTGTGGCGGTTAATTGCGCAGTTAAATGTCTAATAATAATTACTTAATGCAAAATGAAAAAAAAATATGCCAATTTTGAGTCCTTACCATATATAATCGGTTTCCAAAGTTTCTATTTATGCGGGAAAAATATATCTGTGATATTAATTTTTTTCCCGATAATTTTTCAATACTCCGCAATTTTTTGGTCTATTTAAAAAACGTCTGTAGACGCAGATTTAAATTTTCATCTTTATAAGCGTCCGGAAAATCTACTTGAACATGTGTTTCTGGTTCCACGCGCCTCAGATGTGAAATGACACACGATAATCTCGTCCTCGCCGGTAAATGTTAATTAGTTGTATACGCTAAAAGCTTCAGCAGGATTATTGTAGTTTATGAAAGAAGTTAAAATGAGTTCTGCAGCATCAGCTTGCTTTAGCTGTTTTGCTGAAAATAAAAAATGGATTCGTGGATGTAGAACAACCAAAGCTTCAACAATTATACTATATTCAACTAAACAAAGAGACACTTAAGTAATAAAGAGCTTTGTAAAAGTGTCCAACTCACACATATGGGTGGACTTGTGAAGCAATTTTGTTGTATAGGGATATGATTTTTCGAAAAACTGAATTGAAGTCATTAAAATAGGCAGTGAAAATATTTTTTGTTATTACTTGATATCCAATGATTTTGGTGGTTTATGGATATATGGACGGATATCCTTTACAGTAAGTGGCGTCTTTGTTGCGCCAATTTTGTTAAAAGCATGTTGGGTGAAGAAAACTGCACCAATAAACTACGTTATCAGTGTTGTCCAAACTTTGATTTTTATTAAAAGAATCAACAACTGAATTTAAAAAAAATGTATATATGTTTTTTTTTTATAGCAATTACAAAATGTTTTACAGGCACTGTAAACAATATAGTACAATATCCAAACTAAGTAAGTTCTTTTCTTTCATCTGTAAATTGTCGTTCTCGAATACGTCTCGTGTATTTAGTTGGTGGTTTGTGAAAGTGGAAAATAACGCATTAGGTGAAAACATTTAAATGGCTTTAGTTCTACATGAAAACAACAGATTCAAATAAATCAAATAAACAAAGAGGCAGTTATATGTGCAACAATAACATTTGAACATAGACGAGCACTTCTTTACGAAAGTATTTATACTTCGGGAGAAGCAGTTTGTGACCTAATTTCTTCATGTAGATCACAATATGACTGCGAGGTAAAATCTTTTGTGACAGATAACACAAATGTGGCCGTCATGAGAAAAACTTTGGAGGAAAAGATGGACTTAAAAGTTATAACGTATATTTTGAACTCTTCAGAGCAAAGACTAACAAATACCAGACGTCAAAAAATATGTAGTTCAAATTGTTAAGTAGTTTCGCGATAACTATCTGGTTAGAGCAATATTGAGTCCAATAGTAGGCAACGCTTTAGTCCTTCCAAGTGATGTGCTATGGAATAGCATTGTTGATTGTTTAAAGTTGTACGTCACTCAATGGGGTATATTATTAAAAATCGGTGAATAAAACGAAAATCAAATTGATTCTACCATTTACCAAAATGTATTAAATATTGGGCTTAAACATGCAGTTACTCTTCATATTTTTCAGAGAAAAAACGCTCCTTTGTCAGAGTTGAGAAATACAAAAAAATCAGGATCGATATAATCAGGCACTTACACCCGAAGAAAAGAACCTGGCTTTAGAAACAATTAAACTAAACACTGGACTTTTGCCATTAGTGATAAAGTTGAATGCCCGCAGTTACTCATTTAAAGAAATATTTTTTCGGATAAAACAATTAAAAACGTAAATGGAATACAGTAGTGGTCATCACAAAAGGATGAACCAGAAATTGCGAAACAGCTACCAACAATAAAATAGTTCCTGTGTTCAACTGCTTCCTCGGCGTCAGTAGAATGAACTTTCAGCGCTTCTGGTTATATATAGTCAGATATAAGGAACAGTAACATTTTTCTTCAAACTATACAACGAAAATTCAGAAGCATGAAGTGTATATTATTATGTTATTTTTCTAAAGAGTTGCGTTGTACTTTTTATTTGTGTTAATATTTTCACGTTGTGCTTGTTGGGTTGGTCTCAATAAAAAATATTTAAAAAAATAAGAGTTTAAGATCAGCCCAACCTTGTTCGTTATCGCTTTGCTTGCATCGATAAGAATATAAAAGATATGAAGACCAAGCGAACAACTTTTATGTAGTCGCGAGAGGTTACTCGATATATCGTTGATAGTCTGTAACTGTCTGTAACTAGTCTTCATTGCCAAAAGCCCAAAAATAATTATTCAACCCTATTTTACCTTACCTCAGATTAATATTTCCAACTCACTTAAAATAGGCAATATCGATGGGTAAACCGCCAACGTTTTGTACAGCAAATTATACAATATCGAATCACTGCACATATTTCGCATTAGATTACATTGAATTCTGATTTTGTATTTTTTTGTATTTTGTAGTAATGCGAATAATAACTAATAGTAGAGTTCTCCAAAATATATACCGTTTTTACAACCTTTTATGGTTTTTACTTCGGAATGTGTTAAAGATGCGCTTGTTGTAAAGCGGAAGGGACTATTCTTTTCAGCACGTGTACCACAAGCCAGGGCAAACCAGGGCCGTATTTAAGATGTTAGCCGACAAGAACTGTGCCGTGCGGACTGTTGTATTTTAAGAGTAGGATTTAAAAGTAAGAATGGATTTTTCACTGCATGGACTAATAATAATCAAGGAATCTCACCGATGAAACTCTACACAAATCCGGCAGCTTTCAGTATTTGTATGCACGAAGTACCGAGTTTTGGAACGTCATTGTAGAATTCCGAATCTTCATAAAACCTTCATAAAAATTTACCAAAGTTAAATACCGCCTGATTTGGTTTGCTGTAACTTGCATCTTATAACTTCGGTACGCGGAGACTTAAAAACTCCGGTAATATTTTATAGTCCAGCTACATAAACAAGTAGTACTTTTTGTTTAAGCACATTATTAAACATCAATACAATTAAATACACCCGATTACATAACTCAGTTTGTCATCGATTTTGAATTTTGTCATTTTAAAAGTTGGGTTGCTGCTTTGCTTTCTCGCTCCGCCGTGTCCAGTAAAAAGTACGGCAACCCCAAAATAAGTTCTTGTCGTTGCAGTTATACGACCGCACTGCAACGTCACTTAAAATTATTTACTTCACTCGAGTGTGTGATCCTTTACCGTAGTTTTACGACCACAGACCGATCAAGTTACGCAAAGTCTGTGGGTTGTAAAACGCGACGAGAATATACTAAGTTCGTCTTTTTGAAAAGTTTTTATCCCCCTTTGTCTATAATTACTTCGTCCCTCCGGGCTTTGTTGGAGTATTTTTGATTTTTTTTAGTGCATACAGGCTTCGTATGTAACTAGCAAGGCTGATGGAACTAAAGTGGACGGTGGAACTTATCAGAAGCCTGCAGTATAAAATACTGCACTGCACTGCAGACAATAAAGTTTTGTACGTTATTTTGTTGGTTGGTATTACAACATTTTCGACTTATTTTTTAAGAATAAAGATATTACCTTCTATTTATAATTGGATGTTATAGTATACTCTACTATAAACGAAAAGTCTCATCAATCAAGAATAAAGTTTTGTATTCTCCGAGGTATTCTTTTACTTATCGACCTTCTGCGCTCCATAGTTTGTTATAACGGTGTCCTCCATAAACACTTGTGTATTTCTAATTTTAGTTCTCGTTAGTTTTACTTGGTTAGTTTACTTAGATGGTTTACATCGGTAATGGGTCGGATTATGGTATTTTATAATCCCAAAACCCAACCGATTTGTATTAAAATGAGGTCGAACAAAGTGAAAACAAAATTAATAAAGGAACAGTTTGAAGTAACGTCTAATAGCCCCGCCGACGTTAAGATGTCGTTAATCTTTCAGGACGAGAGTATCCGCCATCATTAACTTAAAGTGTCCTTTATATTATGTCCCCTTTTCTCGGAAAGTAAAATTAAACTGCCGCTTCAGCGGGCGAATCAAAGAATATTAAAAACTTTTATTTAGCTTGTCCCGTTTGTTAAAACGACACGGAGTTTCCCTCGTCGTACTAGAATGAGAAATGAAATCCACACTGCATTAGTCCTGTGTATTATTGGGTCTAGTGTTTTATATTATTATTTTGTGGCGTTGTATTGAAATTTGTTCGCGGATGCGACAATCTAGCCGAGCGCACTGTTATATACGAATGTTAGCCTTTCTCTATTTGCTTTTTCCGCTTTGCCACCTTTTCATCAACTGCAGCGCTTAACCATTCGGAACGCTATAGGTATATAAACAGCCGCAAGTCCCTTCTCATTTGCCGCAGACATACCTAGAACTGGCGTTGTTTTAAAACGCGCCATCGTCGAAGGTTTTTGCTTTATACGCATATACCTTAACTGGGTAGTGTCCAACAATGCAAATGGCAAACTATAGTTAAGAAAGTCTTGTAGGCAGCAGTGACACTTTCAGCAATCTCCATTCCTGCTATGCTATTGAACATAAAATGTTTTATAAAATTATAGATTAAATCACAGAATTCAGTT